GGAGTTTTCTCCAGAACCTCTTGGTTACTGAGCGTATATCTCACCCCGTCTCGGGGCAATTATTTCAGGAGATAGCAGTGGAGCAGGAGCGCTGGAGCGCTTCATATTTTGCATTTTGTTGGCCGTGTGGCCTAGGCTAGACTTAGGGCATGAACATGTCATTTGTATTTATTAGTAGCTTCATTAGCATTTTGTTCATGCCATTTTGCCTAAGTCTAGTAGTGATGTATTTGGTTATGTTGTCTTTTAAATTAAGTTGAAATTTTAGAAGAATGTAATTTGAAGTTTTAGTTTCAAGTTGTAATTTGTAAAGCCATATTGTAATAGTATTGATGCATGTCTAATTATGATGGAAGGGCCTTAGGCCTATTTTAGGTTATGATAATATGTATGATGGAAATATGCATGAAAAAGGTGTTAGTGATTGCAACTACTTGAGAATGACTAATATGGACTCTATGTTTAATAACTATAAACTGGATTGGGTTGTAAGTGCCCCAAGGCGTTGTTGGTCCTTGTGTGTGCCACCCATTGGATTATTACTGTATTATCATGTGTTTATTAGGTACATTTGAGGTTTAAATGATCTTTTACAAATTTGGGATTATTGGAAAAACAAAGGAAACTCTGGCGAATTTTCTGTAGAATTGGCAGATTTTAGGCGAACTTTGGGAGAGCATATCTCCCTCCATAGAGGTCCCCTAGGGACGTTCCATACGCCATTTTGAAGGTTGAGATGTCCTCTACCTTGTGTCAAAATTTGAGGAAATTCTGGGTTGATCTTCGGCCTGAAATAAATAGAGAAACGCGGACTGCCCATGTGCCCCTGCACCTGAGGCAGATTCTGGACCGGATTTGGGAAATTAATTCCCGCTTCGTTTCTCCGCCAAATTAAGCGTGTGATATATCAAAATGAAGTTTTAGATGTCTAGTTTGTAGGATAAAAATTTGAGAGCAAATGGTTGAGTAGATTGAGTGCAGTAATTCGAGCAATGTGAGTGGTTTGGAGCTGTTTTTGGGGTTGTTTGGGCTAATTGCTTATCCAACTTCAAACGGCGATAACCGGAGCAAATGAGCTCCGAATTGAGCGTATGATAGCTTTTTAAAAATAATGGAATTAAGTAATACAAAAATATAATCTGAGAAGAAGGGTTAGTTGCGATCGGTTTGGTCGCAGAAAAATTTAGAGTGAAACATGTTCGAATTGGTAAAAATGTAAAGTTGGAAATAGGCTAAGTGAGTTTATGGGAACTCCTTAGTAACTCATAATAAATGATGTAAGTTATAAAAATAGTTGAAATAAGTCTTCCGCAAGAGTTTACGGTTACGGTCACAGCTTTTAATTATTACGCTTTTTATGATTTAAATGCTCGCGTAATAGTCGAAAAAAATTTACTCTCGTTTTTTTTAAATGAACTGCTGTGATTGTAACTGCGCTTAATATCATAATTAATGTTAACAATACCGGTACGTAACGGGCTGTTACAGATGGTCCAAGACATTACTAATTAATTTAATTGGTTAAATTAATTATCAAATATTCAAATTTTGAATTTTGAATTTGAAATTCGAATTTTGAATTTGAATTTTGAAATTCGAATTTTGAATTTGAAATTTAAAATTTGAAATTTGAAATTTGAATTTAAATTTTGAAATTTGAATTTTGAATTTGAAATTTGAATTTGAATTTAGAATTTAAATGTTTGAACATTTGAATTTAAATGTTTGAATTCGAATTTGAATTGGCTATGAAAAGTTGTTTCATAACAAAAGGATAAGATGAGATCTTGTTGGAACAAATTCCTTGTATCAAGAGAAGATCTAGGGAGATCTCCAAAGGCTGATTTGGGGCGCCACTTTGGTTGGAGATGAGTGTCATCTTTTTCAAACAAACAAGCTTTAATCAGATTTGGTTGTTGAGAGAATCAGTGAGCTAGTTGGTTCAAACTTGAATGCAACAGCTCAAAGTATCTGAACCCTTTTTGGGGCTGAATGGGGCGCATGAATAGGATGGTCATATGATGACCATTAGTTCAGAATCTTGACTAGATAGAGACCTAGTCTCATGAGGATTCAAAGGTAGGTTGTTGGGAATTTTGAATTGCAACAACTCCACCTTTTTCTCCTCTCTTGTGCGCCACTTTAATTGGTTTTTTAAGTGAAAATTCTGATTTGATTTCTCTCATTTTCTCACTCTCTTGTGCGCTTACTAGGGGTAAGTTCTCCTTAAGGTTTTCAGAAAAAGACCTAGCCAATTCTACTCCAATCCATTCCCCACTCTTGTGAAGTTTTCATGCTGAAGACTTCACTCTTCTAAACACATTTACCTAGCCTCCTTCTTCACCTATTGAGCGCATAGCAAGCCTCTTTGTGTTGGTCAATTGGTGGCTTGACAAGAAGAGTTCTTGCATCTTGACGTGGGTGGTGTGGATCAACGTTAGAGGGTTTAAACCGTTCAAACCTAACATTGAACGTCTTGGAGTTTTGAACTCACAAATAAAGGTAACATCATACTGTCATAAAGCATGATTCTTGATTGCATGTGTGATTCCGGATAAGAAAAATTTTGTTTTTCCCTCTCACATGCTACGGCCTTCAAGGCCAGTTACTATCACACATAGCCTTATGTTCTAATTCTACAGGAAGTTGACAAGACTTACCGTACACCAGTTGGAATGGTGAAATACCTATTGGGGTCTTGAAGGCTGTCTGGTATGCCCAAAGCGCATCGTCAAGCTTCTTTGACCAGTCTTTCCTTGAATTTCCCACAGTCTTCTCTAGGATTTGCTGTAGCTCTCGATTTGAAATCTCCACTTGTCCACTTGTCTACGGATGGTAAGGTGTCGCCACCTTATGATTAACTCCATAATTAGCAAGTAGACTCTGAAATTGCTTGTTGCAGAAGTGGGATCCTCCATCGCTTATGATAGCTCGTGGAACTCCAAAAATTGTGAATATGTTCTTTTGTAGGAAAGACACAACCACTTTAGCATCGTTTGTCGGAAGAGCCGCTGCTTCCACCCACTTTGACACGTAGTCCACAACCACCAAGATATACTGATTAGAGTAGGAGCTGGGAAAGGGTCTCTAAAAATCTATGCCCCACAAGTAAAATATTTCTACTTCTAGAATGTTATTCAAGGGCATATCATTCCTCTTTGAGATGTTCCCAGTCCTTTGGCATCTGTCACATCTCTCCACGAAAATTTCGGGCATTCTTGAATATAGTGGGCTAATAGAATCCACTCTGTAAGACCTTTTGAGCAGTACGATTCCCAGCGAAGTGTCCTCCGTAATCTGAACCATGACAATGCAATAATATGTTTTCCACCTCTTCTTGAGGTACACATCTTCCCATCATTCCATCAGTGCAAACAAAGTAAAGAAAATGATCATCCCACAAATATCTCCTTGCATCATGAAGAAATTTCTTTGTTTGTTGCCATTACTTGTTCATCTGGGAATGCATCCTGGATCTCTATTTAGGTTCTTCTTGTAGCTCCTTGACTTGAATTCGGGATAGGTGGTCAGCTACTAAATTCTTCACGTCTTTCTTGTCCCGAATCTCTAATTCAAATTCCTGAAATAACAACATCCAATGTAGCAAATGTGGTGGCATCCTGCTTATTCAGAAGATGCTTCAATGCAGCATGGTCAATAAAAATAATAACTTTGGACCCAATTAGATAAGATCTAAACTTGTCTAATGCATAAACTATAGCTAACATTTCTTTTTCAGTAGTGGCATAATTGACTTGTGCCTCATTTAAAACTTTACTAGCATAGTATATGACATGTAACAACTTATCCTTACACTGCCCGAGAACTGCTCCAACAACATATGCACTTGCATCGCATATGAGCTCGAACGGAAGGTTCCAATCAGGTGTTGTCAAGACAGGTGCGGTAGTCAGCTTCTCCTTCAAAAGATTGAAAGCTGTTAGGCAGGCATCATTAAATATAAATTCAGCATCCTTGACCAAAAGTTGACTCAGTGGTTTGGCAATTTTGGAGAAATATTTGATGAACCTCCTGTAAAAACCTGCATGTCCAAGAAAACTACGAACACTGTTAACATTAGTGGGAGGGAGAAGTTTTTCAATAATCAATAACATAGCCTTATCCACTTCAATTCCTTTTTCAGAAATACGGTGTCCTAAAACTATGCCATCACTTACCATAAAATGGCATTTCTCCCAATTTAAAACTAAATTAGTTTCTTGACAATGCTGCAAAACACAAGAGAGGTTAGCCAAACATGAATAAAAAGAATCACCAAAGATAGAAAAATCATCCATGAATACCTCAAAGAATTCTTCTATCATATCAGAGAATATGAAGAGCATGCACCTTTGAAATGTGGCTGGAGCATTACATAATCTGAACGACATTCTCCTATACGCGAATATACCAAATGGGCATGTGAATGCAGTTTTCTCTTGATCCTCTGGTGCAACTGCAATCTGATTGTACCCCGAGTAACCATCCAAGAAACAATAATATGAATAGCCACCTAATCTTTCAAGCATCTGATTCATGAACGAAAGAGGGAAGTGATCCTTCCTTGTAGCTGCATTGAGCCTTCGATAATCGACGCACATCCTCCATCCTGTTATTGTCCTTGTTGGGATCAACTCATTGTTTTCATTTTGCACTACAGTTACTCCATCTTTCTTTGGCACTGTTTGCACTGGACTCACACATGCGCTGTCTAAAATAGGATAAATCATACCAGCATCTAGAAGTTTGACTACTTCCTTTCTAACCACTTCTTTCATGGTTGGATTCAATCTTCTTTGTGGTTGACGAACTGGCTTCACATCGTCTGTCATCAGAGTCTTGTGAGTGGAAAAAGAAGGGCTGACTCCTCTCAAGTTAGAGAATGACCAGCGAATTGCAGACTTATGTTTCTGCAACATGTTCACAAGTTTTGCTTCTTCTTGGAGAGATAAATTTTTATTGATAATTACTGGATATGTATCATTATCTCCCAAGAATGCTTACTTCAAGTTTGAAGGAAGTTCTTTCAACTCCAACTTGGGACTAACTATAGACTTATCTTCAGGTTTCCTAGTCAGCTCAACTGACTCTTCTTCTAGTGCACTTGAAACATCAGTTGTGTCTATATCTTTAACTACCTCGGTAAGCAAATCATCATTCAATAGTTCTGATGACTGCAGGATTTTTGCAAACTGATCTTCAACGATAGGAGGATTTGGTTCCTCAAAAATATTTTCCAAATTGCTTCTTCTATTACATCAATTTGGAAGCAATGTCCTCTATCTTCAGGATATTTCATGGATTTAAAAACATTAACTTTGAATTCACCATCATTGACTCTAAATATCATCTCACCTTGCTCTACATCAATTAATGTCATAGTAATTGCTAAGAATGGTCTCCCCAAGATGAGAGGCATATTATCATCTTCTTCCATATTAAGTACAACAAAATCAGCTGGAAAAATATAATCATTTACCTTTATAAGGACATCTTCTAGCACTCCTTTTGGCATCTTGATGGATCGATCAGCAAATTGAAGAGACATCAAGGTAGATTTTATCTCCGTAATCTCCGAAGATTGTGCAAAAGATAGGGGCATCAAGTTGACAATGACTCCCAAATCACATAGAGCTCTCCCTACTTTAACATTCCTGATCGTATAAGAGATACTGAATCTCCCCGGATCTTTAACTTTAGACGACAATCCCTTTTTGATCACAACACTACTCTCTTCAGTTAAAGCTACTGTTTCCATCTCTCTGAGCTTATGTCTGTTTGACAAGAGACCCTTCATGAATTTTGCATAAACAGGCATGTTCTCTAGAGCTTCGGAGAATGGAATGTTAATTTACAGCTTTTTAAACATCTCCATAAACTTCGAATATTGCTGCTTCTCTTTATCTTTCTTTTTTCGAAGAGGGTATGGAGCTTTTGCATAAGGATCTGGTTGACTGAATCTTGATGGAAGTTTCTTTGTAGTTTTCTTATTACGATTGATTGCTCCTTCAAAGTAGGTTACATCATCTTAATTAGGAGCCTCTTCTTTCTTAGTACTATCCTCTTTTGTCTCTTCCTCTTTTGTTTCCTCCTCCTTTGGTGCTACCTTGACTGGCTTTTCTTGAGGTTCAATCACCTTCCCACTCCGAGTAGTGATAGCATTACAATGCTCTCTTGGATTAATCACAGTGTCGCTAGGCATTGTCCCAAGAGCTCTTTCATTCAATTGTTTGGCCAACTATCCAATCTGAGTTTCAAGATTTCGGATTGAAGCCTCCTGATTCTTGATCGATGCTTTTTGAGTCTTGAAATTTGATCTTGTCTCTTGAATGGAAGCATTGGTGGTTGAAGCCATGGTCTCCACCAATTTCTCCAAAGCTGAAGATGTACAATGTTGTACAGTCATCTGTGGTTGTTGAGATTTGTAGGAGATGAGGTTTGAGTTATTCCTCCAACTCGTGTTGTTGCTACCTTGGTAGTTGTTCCTTTGCGGGTTTCCCATATAGTTGACTTTTGAAGGTTGAGCTAATGGGAAATTCGCAGTCAAATGTCCTTCACCACATAAGTCACATACTACTGGTTCCTCAGCATTGATGGCAGAGATTTGATTCTTAGCAACTATCTTTGTGAGAGATTCCATCTGCTTCTGCAAACTCTGTTGACCAGTCATCAAGATGTCAAGTCTATCCACTTGCAGAATGCCTCTTTTGGAGCTGGGTACATCCCCATTCTATTCAGTAGTTAATTCTTCAATGAGTTGTAAAGATGCAGTTGGAGCTTTGTTAACTAATTATCCATAAGCAGCCACATTCAGGAAATTTCTATCAGCAGGGCATATATCATAGTAGAAGAGCCTCACTTTTATCTCCTGCTTGAAGAGCATATTGTGGGCATGCTGTCAATAAGCCTTTGAATCTCCTTCAAGCTGCGCCAAAAGATTCACCATCATGTTGAGAGAAATGGTCAATCTCTCTCTTCTTCTACATGAACTTAGAAAGAGTAAAGAACTTCTTTCTAAATTTAACCACCAAGTCATCCCATGAAGTGATGCGCCCTTTAGGTTCATTCCTCGGCCATTCTTTTGCTCTTCCTTTTAATGTAAAAGGAAAAAGTATCAGATGAATAGCATCAATGCTAACTCCATTATGCTTGTGAAGCCGACATAGTTCCAAAAATCCCGACACATAAAGATCGGGATCATAGTCGTCCTCCCCTGAAAATTGATTGTTCTGGAACAGTTGCAAGAAGGCTGGATGAACTTCAAAGTTGTTGGCCTGGATTGGTGGAATGATGATCGCAGAAGAGACATGTGCAAATGATGGGTTGAGGAATTGCTCCATGGTATCCTCATGTGGTATTTCTTCAGCCACAGTTGATGTTGATTCTTGGAAGAGTGATCGGTTCACTCTTTCTTTTTCTTTTTGCTCCTTAGTTAATCTTTTGTTCTCCTTTGCTATATTTTCAATTTTCGGTTCATAGAGCAAGTCGTTTGGATCAACTGTACTCGCATAAACTAGAATTTTTAAAAAAATCAGTAAGGGTAACAAAAACAAAAAAAAGGTCTAATCTTAAACTCCACAGATACTACTATTGTTGATTTTTAGTTCCCGGCAACGGCGCCAACAACTTGTTGCGAACACGGCAAGTATACCGATCATACAAGTAATAAAGTGATTAAGTAAAAGTATCATTCTCACGAGGACTAAATTCAAGCAATAGTTTCGCCGTTTTTATCTAAGTTAGACAATTCAAAAGTAATTTCGCAGGTAATCAATATTTAATTAAAAATGAAATAAAGATGACAGTAAAAGAAATTAATTTAAACGCTAAAATAAAAACTGAGTTTTAAAATCAAGAATAAAAATGCAGTTAGGGTATACTTCACCTCTTATCCCCCTTGAGTAGTTTAAATTAATTTCAATAATAATTTATCCCAATTGTTTCAAACAATTCATCTTCTAATTACTAAGTGGTTAAATCCCTAATGTCTTAGTTATTTAACCCAATTAGAATCCTAATATCTTAGAAACCCTTTTCAGATTAAGCATTAACCACGATGAATTATGAAAGTTTGCAATTACTACAAGGCTATGTCTAGATCATGCAAGAACTGGTATTTACCCCTGTCAGGATTAAAATTTTAATATGTTTATTATGAACCCTAACCCTCAAATCCCTATATGAGTGATCAAGTCATACAAGGATGCATAAAAATAATTCTGAGGTAAACACAAACAACTTGAGACAATTTATTAAAGAAACAATTTAAACATCAAAAGAATTCACGTTGAATCCATATCCCTAACTACTAAGAAAATTAGCCAGACATATTCATGTCTGACTTTAACAAAATATTAAAAAAATTAAATTAAATTCCTGGATGAAGAATGATGAATCTCCACGTTTTCGCTTCGATCCTCCTTAAGTTCTTAAACGCCTCTAGCCTCTGAATCCTAGCCTCTCTGCGCACCTTCCTTACTCTTTGCTTCACGCTTCAATCTCTCCAATCGAATAATTTTTCCAGCCTTCGAGTTCCCTTTTTATAACAAAAGAAGAACATCTTTTATTTCCTTTTTTTAAAATCCTTTATCAGATTTGGTGTGATTTCTTTCAACATAATCTCAACTTGAAAGAAATAATTCCTTAAGTTCTTATAGAGAGATTGGCGCAATTTGCGCCACTTTACAGAAACTTCGGATGCTTGGCGCAACTTGCGCCATGATGTGAGAGAAGTTGGCGCAATTTACGCCAACTTAAAATTACGCTCCACATTACTTTTTGGCTATTCTTTTTCTCTTCAATCTTGATATTCTTTAATAAAAAAAAATCCCTACAAAACATAATAATTTCATAAAAGTGTTCCTTAAACTAATTCAATAAATAAATTATAATTTTCATGTGTTTTGTCTGAATTTAGATTAGTTAATTTCTCAATTTGGTCCTTAATACATAGTGAACTAAGGAGTTGTCACGAGGCCATTCTGTTGGGGTGCATAAGGGCAAGAGGTTTGGTGTTGGATCCCATGTGTGCTCAAGAAATCAATAAAGCGGCCATCTAAATATTCCATGCCATTATCAGATTGTAGAAGTTGAACCTTAGACTGATATTGGGTTTGGACCATGCTGTAAAATTTTTTGAAGGCAACAAAGACATCACTTTTGTGTCTTAACAGTGACAACCAAGTCATCCGGGCACATTCATCAATAAAAGTCACATAATAGTAACCTTTTGAGAAAGAAGGCACCTTTGCAGGGCCCCAAACATCGTAATGAACAACTTGAAATGAAATAGAACTTTTATTAGTACTAGGAAAATAAGGAACTCTGTGACTCTTGGCCAATTCACAAGTGCTGCATTTGAAATCAGCATTATTAAAATGGGAAAACAACCGAGGAAACAACTTTTTCATATAACTAAAGGAAAGGTGACCAAGTCTTCGATGCCAAAGCCAAATGTAGCATGGGACTATTCTAGATCGGTTGTTGCATATGTAGTAGCCAAAGAAGGATGGCTAGGATCAGGGACCTCCAAGAAGTAAAGATGGCCACGTCTAACACCGTAACCAAGAGTCGTCTGAGTGGGGATGTCCTGAAAAATGAAATGAGAGGGGAAAAGGTTACTGAATAATTAAGCTTTGAAGTTAATTAGCTCAGAGAGAGTAAGTTGTATTCAAGAGAGGTTACAACCAACACAGAGTCTAGAAATAAGCTATCATAAAGGGTTAAGGATCCTTGACCAGTAATTTTTGAGGTACCCCCATTGTCAGTGAAAATAACGGATTGGGAAGAATTACAGAGATTGAACAACTAGGAAGAATCTTTAATCATATAATCAGAAAGACCTGTGTCAATTATCCAAATATTATTCCTAGACAATGTATAGAAAGCAAGAGACTTACCCAAAATATCGGATTAAGTAAAATTGACTATAGGGATAGGAGCATCTCTAGCGGAGACAATGGTCATGGCTTTGACATGTATTTTCTTCCGGGGACGTTTATTGAAATTCCACCATTCAGGATTCCCAATCAGCTCATAACACATCTATTTAGAATGACTAAAATCACCACAATGAGAGAAGACTAGGGAGAAACTGCAACTAGAGAGATGCTTCGCGCTGAATTTCTTTGGACTGAGGAAGTTGTCCAGTGCGAGAATTATGGGCTAGTAGGGCTGAAGATTCAGAGGAGATTTTGGAATTGTTCGTGAGAAAAGAGAAATTCGAAATGGGTAACAGAAAAAGGAATTCAAGTCGGGCAAATTAATACCGGGTAAAAGAAGAAGAATACGATGTGGGAGTTTTAATGAAAATATGTTCCTGGATCAAAAATACTCTGATACTATGTCAAAACAATGGTGTCATCTTATGAATATTTCTGCATATGTATTCTTCCTTTACCGAGGTAATTATATACATAAATGAGGACTCTAGGTCCATTACAAATTAGCTGTCAATCAGCTATGAATAAGGAAATGAAATAACCTGTTACTATTTTTATGTAATACAGATCTCCTATGATTATGCCAATCAACTGTAAATAAGAAAATTAATCTATTTAATACAAATCTCTTATGATTATGTAACTATGTAATCAATGATTAAAATTCCAACAATTATACAACTCAACAAATATTTTCTCATTTTAACAAGATTAAAATGATTCTTTACAATACCACATAATAAGTTATTATAAGCATGTGTGTAAATTCTTTCTAAGAACCTTGTCCCTATTCTGTTGTTACACGTCATTTCTATATCGATTGTTTGTAGATAAATTGAAAATATGGTTTGGTAATTCCAATCTGCAAAAATACGCT